AAGGGGTAGTTTATATGGAGCTTAGGGGAAGATAACCGTTAGACCTAGACATGAACTTATTAAGATTGTATTATTCGGGGAAACATCCCCTTGGGAGTCTGTTTCACAGGGAAATTGTTCTCGGAGAGAAGCTGTTCAAGTGAAATTTTCGCTGATGGAATACGGAGGTCATGTGGGTGGTTGGCTACTATTTAAGTGGCATGGCCTTGAAGGCTAGACGGTTTCAAGGAATGTAGTACCGCCGAGTACTTTCCATAGAGCTAGCGGTAGAACATCGAACGGCTCGCTACAACCTGCCCGGGAGAAAGAGGTTGGAGAGTGGAAAATCATTCTTCTCCCACAAGGACTCGGACACGCTTATGAACTCTATCAAGACCGGATAGAGAGGTCAGAGCAGCTTCCGTTCAAATATATCAACAGTACTCCATTTTCGGCCTGATCTGGCTCTTATAAAGGTAGACGATAGCATGAAGAGGCAGGTGCTTACGTCATCGGTACGATCGTTCTACCTGTATCTTTAGCGATGGATTTTGCGCTATAACTATGAATTTGAAGCCGAAATCGGTTTAAATTATAAGCAGAATATAGCAGTGCTAATGGCGTTCCACCAACTTCTCAACATTTCGGACGAAGACATTAGTGATAAGAGACATTATCTTCTCCTGTTACTTTAACACTTCAACCATCAAACGTCGAGGGCTGCGGAAATAATTAAGATACCACGAAAGAGTGTTTGAGCGATTCACTTTCGCTTGTCTCTCGGCCAACTCTACGGAAAGATCGGGGAAATGCTTTAAGAATGTGTAAATATACAAATAAGTTATAGTCCGTTGTTGTCTCAAAAAAAAAACAAAAAAAACCACACACACAGAGGTAGGGGGGTGACGAAAACAACAATGTTTTTCATTGATGCCCTCCTTGAACGAAAATATGGCTCGAGCAGATGTTAGAAAAGTTAGGATAATATATATATATAATATATATATATATATATATATATATATATATATATATATATTAAAGACATTTTTTATGTTTAACATTCTTTTTATAGATACAAGTATTTAAGTAAATGCTCTGTTTATAATGAACAGTATTAAATAACATTTACCGGCCTGAATGTCGAGAAATTTTCATAGAAATTTTCGTCCTTTCTATGAAAATTTCTCGGACATTTAGGCCGGTAAATGTTATTTAATACTATTTATTATAAACAGAGCATTTACTTAAATACTTGTATCTATAAAAAGAATGTTATTCATGAAAATGTCGTTAATAAATTGTCGGACTTTGTCCATTTCTTAATGTATATATATATATACTACTAGAGGTACTCTGACTTGGATGGGTTCCAAAGGTAAATAGAATCACGCGAATTCACAATAAATTTACAGGCAATATATATATATATATATATATATATATATATATATATAAGCTGTTTCTAAAAATAATGGTAACTCTTATCATAAAAACAGAAAAGATATCTAAATATATATTATAGACCGCGAATAGTTATATAAAGAGACAAACAGTTAAATAGAAACATACATATATATATATATATATATATATATATATATATATATATATATATATATACATACATACATACATATATTATTGGACTCGAATAGATAGATAGATAGATATGAGCACACTGAGATACATGAAGAGACAATGATAGATAGTGTCATGGGTCCTTACCTATAACTACAGAATGAACTCTTCCTAAAACTATGTAGACTACGTCTCCCAAGAGAGAGGGTCGAATCGATAGTAGTTCACTCCAAACCAGACTGACAGTCATACTAACACCTTCAACATCTTGTATTATTATTTCGTGTAATATATTAGGTTGGTGCAAAAATAATGACGTAATAATATCGTTTTTGACGTTAAAAATACGTCAAAAACGACATTATTACGTCATTATTTTGCACCAACCTAATACTTTCGTTATTTCTTCGTGTTGTTCTTCCTTGGTCCTAACCTGGACCATACTAGATAGATAGATAGATAGATAGATAGATAGATAGATAGATAGATAGATAGATATGAACAGTCAATAATAGATAGACAAATATGAACACACTGAGATAGATATACAGACAGTGATAGATAGATTGATATATAGATAGATAGATAGATATGAACAGACAATAGTATATATATATATATATATATATATATATATATATATATATATAGATATAGGATAGACACACTGAGATACATAAACAGACAATGATAGATAGATAGATAGATAGATAGATAGATAGATAGATAGATAGTGTTACGTTTTTTGGGGTATATACTGTATATAACTAGTGAGTGAGTCAAAATGACTTATTTCCCTTTATAGTCGACCAATAGAAGGTTGACCAATCAGAAGCCGCACACTATTGTATCCGTCGTGTATAAAGGCGGCCATCTTTGTTTTGCTACTGGAATGATCAGACGCAACTTGTCCGGCGAACAGTACAGACGGAAGAACTACGCTCTGCTAGTTTGCTGAGATATTCACTGCGAACCTGCACTACGCTTTCCTACTGTCTCCGAAATATTCACTGCCAACCGCTGGATTCTATACTCGGGGACGACCGTCATGAAAATGTCTAACAGATAGGTATAAAGAGCCAATAATGAAATAGATCGATACACACTGAGATAGATAAACAATGATAGATAGATTTGAACAGACAATAATACATAGATAGAGAGATAGAGATATAGATATGAACACACTGAGATAAATTCGATATATATATATATATATATATATATATATATATATATATATATATATATATATATAAAAAGAAATATGTTGTAGTGGTTCCAACGAGAGAAAAGTATGTATATTAAAAAGAAGATAAAGAGGTGCCGCAAACGTTTTTGGTTGTAATGTGGATTTATTTAGAAAAAATATTATGCTTTGTTTTACATATTATATTTTGTTTATGTAAAACAAAGCATAATTTTTTCTAAATAAATCCACATTACAACCAAAAAACGTTTGCGGCACCTCTTCTTCTTTCTTTTTTATATATATATATATATATATATATATATATATATATATATATATATATATAGATAGATAGATAGATAGATAGAACACACACTGATATAGATAGATCTGAACAGATAATAATAGATAGATATAATTTACCTCGAACACATAGAGGGTATTCATATGTACAGTAACTCTTAAAACAATACCTTCATTGTATTATCCAAATCTAGGCTGTAATTCATAAAGGATTATTATTTTCTGAGACTCTTTGGAGCAAAGTTCTAAAATCTTCCTGACGAATGGCCTCGCCTGCAAAATCGAAAAGTCTAACGATCTTCTCTGTTTGACTTGACCTTTTCATTAGAAAACTTAATTCTGAAGATCACTTTTCCAGAACTTCCTGGTGACAACGGTAAAATGATGTGACAAGACACTGGCACTGTTTCATCATTCTATTAATGTTATATTACTAAGCCCTTGAGCTTTGATCATCGGATTCATTCGTGGATTTGGGCAGAAATGTCTTGTGTGTCATTGTGCTGAAAATTAGGTTATTATAATAGGCATATTGATAATAGATAGATAATGATACCAAAAGCATGTGGTGTATTTCTTGCATTCTCATATTGTGTTCTTTTTCTTTTCTTTTTTTTAGTATTTCACCCCAAGGAAGGCGATAAAGCCACTAAGTCATAAAACATTTACTGAGAGTTGAAGAAACAGGGAAAATGTTACTGATGTGAAGGGACAATAAAAGAACAGTTTCAACAAAACAAATGATGACGATTGAGGTTGCATTTATATATATGAGGATTGTAGTTGACAACGAAAACGAGAAGCTGGCGGAGAGTTGCACGCAGCAGAAGTCTGAAATAACTGACATATTTGAAAAGGATATTAGAATATCCCAAAATCTATACTAACAGCAAATCTCTTGCATGCGGATATAAAATGAATTCAGTAAATATACTAAAATAGACAAGTGTGTAAAACAACGATATATCTTGACACTGGACTTGTTCAACCTATTCAACTAAATGTCTTTGTCGGGATTTGTTGTTGGCGGACAGTCTTAACAACCTAAGATGCTGATAGCAGACACAGAAAGGAAAGTAGAAAATCTTCTACGGAAGTTAGCGAAGGAAAGTGAGAGAAATGGACTATATATAAAAGACAAGAGGCAAGGTTGTCAGCAAAAGGATGACCCACAAAATGCAAATTAAAATCGAGGATACTAAAATGAAACAAGTAAGAGAATTTAAATATCTGTGAATTGTTCTATCAGAGGACAGAAGGTGCGACTCTGAGAACCAAAGATGCATTGGGAAGGACAAAGATGCTTTCCAAAAACCAAGCTGTGTATTAAGAGACAGAAAACTTCGTTAAAAACAAAGAAAAGAATGCTGAACTGTCACGTGATATCTGTCGTTCTATATGCCAATGAATGTTGGACAATCTTCTTAAAGGTTAAGAAGAGAACTGAAGCAACAGAAATGTGGTTATGTCAAGAGATTACTATAGACCAGGGTCGGCAACATTTTGCCGGCTATGTGCGGTTTTGGGGTTTTTAAATCATTCAGTGTTCTAACACCATATGTATTTTAAAGATCCATATACTTGTTCTACAATATATCTTATATAGTAATATATAGTATATATAATTTAGTACATATTAAAATTGAAACAGCTAAATATATTTGTGTTGTAGTAGTTATTGGTTTGGACTTCGTGATGTCATTTACAGCTGGGTGCCATTGGAAATTGCTTGACGTGCCACGTGTGGATCGCAGGCCGTAGGTTGTCGACCCTTGCCCTAAGCCTTGAAGTGGGTTGGGACTAACAAAATAAGAATTTCAATTCCCCCTTGTTACGAACATTTTGGGATGGTGGGGAGAAATAAAAAAAAATTAAATATCTCTTTCTAATTCTGTGATTTGTTTTTCCATTTTCCTTAATTTTCCTTAGTCCCCCATCACAAAAAATGAAAACCCCACCGCCTAAGCCAGGGGTCGGTAACCTTTTGCTAACCCGGCATCATAAATATGTGACACCCAAGATCCTAATCATGGGACACCCAACATCATAAATATGTGACACCCATGATCCTAATTATGAGACACCAAATATCATAAATATGTGATACCCAAGATCCTAATTATGAGGCACCCAACATCATAAATATCTGACAACCAAGATCCTAATTATGAGGCACCCAACATCATAAATATGTGACACCCAAGATCCTAATTATGAGTCACCCAACATCATAAATATGTGACACCCAAGATCCTAATTATGAGGCACCCAACATCATAAATATGAGACACCCAAGATCCTAATTATGAGGCACCCAACATCATAAATATGTGACACCCAAGATCCTAATTATGAGACACCAAATATCATAAATATGTGATACCCAAGATCCTAATTATGAGGCACCCAACATCATAAATATGTGACACCTAAGATACTAAGTATGGGACATCAAATATCATAAATATGTGACACCCTAGATAAAAAAAATATGGGATATCCAAGATCATAAATATGGGACACCCAAGATCATAAGTATGGGACACTCCGGACGATAAATATGTGACACCCAAGATCCTATGTATGGGACACCCAGCATCATAAATATGTGACACTCATGATCCTAATCATGGGACACCCAACATCATAAATATGTGACACCCAAGATCCTAATTATGAGACACCAAATATCATAAATATCTGACACCCTAGATGATAAATAGGGGATATCTAAGATCATAAATATGGGACACCCAAGATCATAAATATGAGATTTGTTACTTATTACTAGTGGGCAACTACTTCAGTTCATTAACCGTTGCCCTGTACCGAGTTGATTTTGTTATTTACCTACCTTGGATAAGTTTGGGTACAATTCACATATATAGAACACAGACCGAGGATCGATCTTACCACGGAGTAGGAATAGCCAACCAGGCTAACTCTTTAACTATTACCACTAGCTCAAGTTGAACAGGTTGATTTCACAGTATGGCAACCCTTGTTAAGATATTCAATATCAGCCAGAGTAGATTGATATTCGTTAACCAATGACTTTCCACAGAAATAACGAAAGCCGCAAAGCTAGAAATCTAATATATATATATATATATATATATATATATATATATATATATATATTATATTCCGTTTTTTTTTTTTAGTGTGCGTGCGTGCGTGTGTATCTTTGCGCTTTTCTGAGATTGCGTATTTTCCCTCTCTCTCTGTGCACTTTTTTTAAATGATTTCTACCGAAGTAAAGCAATAATTTCACTAGGCTGCAAGAAGTTACTGAGTGTTAGAGAAGATGAGAAACACTACTATTAAGGGGAGAGGAAAAGAACAGTATTAAGAAGACAGAAGATAACGATGGATATTGCATTTAAATTTTTGAAATTTGGCTGGAAAGCAAGAAAATTCCATAAACAGGAAAAGAAACTCTTAACATAGAACTTACGGTTCCATGTAGCCATGTTACATACTATATTGTTTATAGGAGTATACAGTCTTATATAACTATTATATTATTAAAAAGGGAAACATATAGATTAAAGAGTGGGGAAAAATAAAACAAGTGCAATCAAGATAGATATAGGGTATCGAGACTGACATTGCGTTTATATTTTTGAAGATCAAAGTTGACTGGGACACAAGAGTACTTCTGTATCTCTCTTTCTCTCTCTCTCTCTCTCTCTCTTGCTCTCTCTCTCTCTCTTGCTCTCTTTCGCTTGCTCTCTCTCTTGCTTTCTCTCTTGCTCTCTCTCTAATGTTCTCTCTCTTGCTCTCTCTCCCTCTCTTGCTCTCTCTCTCTTGCTCTCTCTCTCTCTATCTTACTCTCTCTGGCTCTCTTTTGCTCCCTGTCTCTTGCACTCTTTCTCACTCTCTCTTGTCCTCTTTCTCACTGTCTCTCTCTCTATTGCTGTCTTTCTCACTCTCTCTCTCGCTCCCTTTCTCACACTTTCTCTCTCTCTTGCTCTCTTTCTTTCTCTCTCTCTTACTCTCTTTCTCACTCTCTCTCGTTCTCTTTCTCACTCTCTCTCTCGCTCTCGTTCTCACTCTCTCTCTCTTGCTCTCTTTCTCACTCTCTCTATTGCTCTCTTTCTCACTCTTTCTCTCTTGATCTCTTTCTTTCTCTCTTGCTCTCTTTCTCACTCTCTCTCTCTCTTGCTCTCTTTCTCACTCTCTCTCTCTCTCTTGCTCTCTTCCTCACTCTCTCTCTCTCTGTACGTGTGTATTGGCCTGCTTTTGTGCCTCATTGGTCATTTTGTGTTCTCTTTAATCTGCCTATATATGCCCATGTATTTTTGACCTTTTCCCGGGCTCTTGTGTGAACATGCATGGTTTTTGTTGGGCGTTTCCATGTGTGCTCATCTGCGTTTGTGTGTCCGTATATTTTTGCTTGTGTATGCGTTTGCATTATTTTCTGTGCGTGCGTGCGTGCGCGCGTGTGTGTGTGTGTGTGTGTGTTTGTATTTGCCGTCTGTTATAAAATCGGTCAGAACGGGAAATATGCTTTCGTATATGCGCCCTTGTGCCTGTGAGCGCAAAGCGATATGCAGAAGTTCAGAGAATATCGATAAAAATAATGTTTGCTTATTTATTTATTTTATTTTATTTATTTATTCATTTTTTTGGCTTTCGAAATCAGTCCCCCTTTGCTCACAAATTCGCTTGTAAAGTTTACAGCTTAGAGGCGGAATCGGCTCAATGAGCGATCTATATTCCGTTGGCGCTTGCCCTATATCTACCATATACGTACATCCTTATATTATTCCACTACTTTTGTGATGTAAGGTGGCCGTTAAGGATGAAGTATAACTCAAGACTGCCATGTTAAGATAAAACATTATTCAATTAAAACCGCAAATAAATACTTAACAAGAACAAAGAAATAAAAGTCAACCAATGTTAATTAACTATTTCAGTTAGTAGCGCGGCTCGGATTAACGTCTGGTAAATCTTAAATCAAAACCCAAATCATCGACACACAATAATTCACACTAATTCGACTGGATCGTTCCACTCAATAGTCACTTAATAATCACTCCAGTCAGTAGCCTGACATCACTATTTATACACTTGACAGTAAACATATATATTCATAAGTCCAGTGCGTCACGTTCGAACCTCGATGCCGCAAATAAATACTTAACAAGAACAAAAAAGTAAAAGTTAACCAATGATAATTAACCATTTCAGTGAATACTTTTTTAGTAGCGCAGCTCGGATTAACGTCTGGTAAACCCTAAATCAAAAGCCAAATCATCGACGCAAAATAATTCATACTAACTCGACTGGATCGTTCCACTGAATAGTCACACAATAATCACTACAGTCTGTAGCCTAACACCGCTATTTAATCACCTGACAGAAAACATATTCATAAGTCTAGAATACCACGTTCGAACCTCGGTGGCGGTAGTTACTCATTTTCTTCCTATATGACAACTACATATGATGACCTCACCCACATGGATTACTGCGCATGAGCCCTCAAGGGTCCAGCTTAGAATTTGACCCCTAGTCTACCCAGACATATGATTTTACATTGATGACTCGTGTAGAATCCCAGATGGTGCTGCCCACTCTTCGCTTTCCAGTATTGATAGATTCCAAAAACTTCTACGCCACCTTGTGGGTGATTAATTGTTTTTGACCTTGCAATCCTCTCGCTAATCTACCGCTATATCCATGGAAAATGTTCAAGCGAGCATCATTACTTAGTTTCCCAAACTCTTAGTTCTGGGTATGACTATAAACTACATCGGGCAGCAAAGACTCTAATCAGGATAGTGGAGGTCTTGATGATCAGGAAACAACCTCTTAATTACTGTTGATCCCAGGTCTACTCTTACCTAAGGTAGACTAGACTCATTTGCTATGTACGCAGTTAGGGTGTATATGTAAGGGTCTCACCTATGGCCAAATAATAATATTATAATAAAAATACCAACAATAGCTATTTATACTAAAATTACGAACAATATATATTTATAGTAGTATTACCCACAATATATTTGATAGTAAAATGACCAGCAATACATTTTATCTGTACTTGAAGGCACACAATTGCGTTCAAAATATATTTAGTAGAAGCCATAAAAGTGTGTTCAAAATATTTAGCTTTCAGCATTAAATAACCCATAGAGTTGTTGATATGCCGCTAAGCAAGATCAACAAACCAAATCATCCAACTCTACTACCCATCTAAGACTAACCAGACCACGTATATTAAAGAAAGATGCACCTTCATTTCCTCTTTTATTTGGGCACTTCGACGTGATGCAATTGTTAGCAAGCTTATCCTGCTAGATTACTTACGGCTGAAGAGAGAGTTCGATCCTCACTGGGTGCCCCATACTTTCAGTTTTATGTCACATTTAAACTAAGCTTAGAAAAATCACCACTCCCCTATGTATTCCTTTAGTAAGGAGTAAGTTCACTCTTTTTTTTTTTTTTTTTTTTTTTAAGCATTTCACCCCAAGCAAGGCGGGAAGCCACTAGGACGCAAGGGGTTACAGAAAATAGGAAGATCAGATAGGAGTGATAGAAGATAGGATGAGGGTAGTAGATAGATTAGGGCAACTGGAGATGTCGATTGACATTACACTTGAATAGCTGGAGATTATAACTCACAGGGAAACAGGAGAAAGGAAGAGAGTTCCACAGGCGAGAGGTGCGAGACATGAAGCTATTAGAGCAGAAGAGACGGCTACATTTAGGAGTTTCGACAGTGAATGGGTGAGAGCGGGATGCCAGCCTCGTAAGGCGCTGGAACTCATGACGTCTGGGAACCAGCGAATGCAGCTCCTCGGAGCAATTTCCATGAAAGTATTTGTAGAACAGACAGAGGGAGGCGACGGTGCGTCTGTGAGAAAGTGACTGTAGACGAGACGCCAGGGCAGGGCCAACCATATTGCATATCCGCTTCTGGAGCCTATGAAGAACCCCGAGGCAAACAGAAGGGGCGCCAGACCATATATGGCAGCAATACTCCATGCAAGGGCGAATTGTGGATTTGTATATCTGGAGGATCGACTCAGGGGAGAAAAACTTCCTAGCGCGGCTCAGGGAGCCAACTTTCCTCGCAGTGGACGAGGCAATTGACTCCTTGCTTATCTCTAAGAACTTTTGCTTTATGGAAAAGAGTCACGGGAGCCGTAATTACCTGGCAACTACAATCTTATCTTCTTCAAGTCTTCCCCACATATTTTTTGCCCTTTACTCTTACATTTTGAGCAACAACTGTCTCTACCTTGAGTCATTCTTGAGACTTGTATAGTTGAACATTATTTTTAAAAATTAACTTTACTGATTCAATAATACCAGAGAAATTAAATATCGATTAGTTACCAGCATGAGTAATTAACTTACAGGCAACAAATGAAAATCGACTAATATTTGAACGCAAATCGCTGACTCCATTTTCCATATCAATAACCGTTGCATTATTCACAGTTGCATCAATGTATACTTGCTTTTGAGTCAAAATTTTAAAATTACAGGGTATCCTAAAAACTTTGACATCATTTCGTCGGCCAATAATTCTGACAATTCTTGTTGAAATAACCTCACATTTTCCCAGAATGCATAGAAACAGATCAAGATTTTACATTTAATGATTTATTTTTGTTACCTGAATAAGAATCTGCCAGAGGGATGGAACGGGCGTGGTGGAGATGAAGGCAGTTTTCTGATGAAATGGCCGCCGCGGTCACCGGACTTGTCCCCAAGTTATTTCTTTTTATGGAGATATGTGAAGGGACTCGTCTATGTGTCCCTGAACCCCCGTCCTTCTCGCATTGATGAACTTAAGCAGAGAATCAATTCCGCCCTGAATAATGTTACTAGAGACATGCTACAGCGTATTTGGTAAGTGCTTAACTGCCGACTTGACGTCTGCCGTCTCACGGGCGATGCAAATAATGAACACTTATGAAATCGGTACCATAATAAAGTTATGATGTTCAACACCTAAACTGTTCAATTTCATTAAAATATACTCAGTAGTTTTCAAGATAATTATATGGTCATCGCATAAGTTCTGTCCGAATTTTGAATAAAGAAAACAAGTGACCAAATGTTACATTTAATTACAGATTCAATCAACAATGTATTTTCCCTGTTTATCTATGACTTCCTTCCATCTATTAACAAGCTTACTAATTCCATTAGTGTAAAATTCTTTTGGCTTTGATTCGAAGAACTCCCAAATGTCAGTTTTAATCTCTTCCTGTGTTACAAAAGCTGTTTCTTCCAAATGATTCTGTAAGCTACGAAACAAATGGTAGTCTGTATGAGCAAGATCGAGAAAATAAGGTGGATGAGGAATTTTCTTCCAACCAAGTTCATCGATCTTTTGTGACGTGATACTTGCTGTGTGGGGTCGCGCATTATCCTGATGAAACATCACCTCTTTTTGATTCACTAGAGCAGGTCTTTTTTTCCTCAAAGCTTGGTTCAAACAGTCTAATTGCTGACAGTATATTTGAGCAATAATTGTTGCATTAGGTGGTAAGAATTCAAAGTGGAATATTCCTTGGTGATCCCACCAAATTGAAAGAAGAACCTTTTGCCCATGAAGTTCCCTTCTCAGCTGTGGCTGGGGTCCTTCCTCTTTACCAAGTCACTGTCTACGACGCTTAACATTTCGATAAAAGATCCATTTTTCGTCGCCAGTCAAAGGTCTATCCAAAAAAGGTGAAACAAGTTGGCGAGAATCGAGAGAATAACAGATGTCAACTCGGGATTTGAGGTTGTTTTCAGACAATTCATGAGGCACCCATTTTCCAAGTTTAGGAACTTTTCCAAGTTGTTGAAGATGACGATGAACAGTTGTATGGTTTGAACTGAGAACCACTGCCAATTCCTCAACTGATAAAGCAGGATTTTCTTCAAGGGTTGCTTCAAGAAGCTTTTCATCAAACTCAACTGGACGTCCGGTTCGATCTTCATCTTCAAGGGTGAAATCTCCATCTCTGAATTTTGCAAACCATCTTCTGCAAGTTCTTTCATTCACACATTCCTCTCCATAAACTGAGTGAATGTTTCTAGCCGCTTTGGTTGCTGAGTTTCCTTTCTTGAACTCATAAAGCATTATGTGCCTCAAATGATTCTTGGGTACTTCCATGTTAGCACGGTTTTAATCAAACAAAATTTAATTTTATTGTTCTCTGAAATAAAATTTGATCAGTTTAAATGCATCTAAACATAAAAATAATGTTCAGCTCCATTAGACATTATAAAATACTCTTTAAATTTCGTTCATTTTAACCAAAAGTTAAACTTCGGACAGAACATATGGGATG